ATCCAAGCCAGAATCGATTTTAATCGATAAATCGATTATAAAAACCCACCCCTACAAATGAGGGTCACATGATGTGGTCTTGTCCTAACCTGGACAATTACTGGGGAAAATTCAGTGCTTGATTTCCACATTGGCATTTTTGGGGTTATGCCACCTCAATACGAAATTAGTCAATCTCAGGAAAATGCCATAGCATTTGCTACATTGCTTGCCCGTAGACTGATTTAGACCGCTACAGCATGCTGCTACATGTTTTCAACAGTTTGGGTGCTGAAAGAAGACTGCAGATTTATGTGTAAACACATCACAGATCCTTTCATAGTCATTAAGGACACAAGAAATTATGATAGTAAGCAAACTTTGAGTATTTTTTCAGTATAGATTTGCATTAATGTGAACCTTCAACTAAGAAAATGCACTGTGAGGATTAAAAAACAACTATTTAAAGCTCAGTCTGAGACCAACATCAGTTGACTAATGGACATTTGGACAGTTTTGTCGTTGCTACTCCATCAGGTCTTTTTGTTAGTTCTGTGAGTGGCCTGTAGCTCCAGTTCACACACCCAAACCACAGCATCCACTGTCTCTCGGTTTTTCTTTCTCTTTCATAAGGCACAGGACAAGGTCAGGCTCTGCTCCACCCATTACAGTAGCACAGGAACATGACACTCTACACGCACGCACACACATACACAGGTACACACACACAGCTCATTTTACTTGTCCTTTCACAAAGCCTCGTGGGAAGAGTGACATCATCCCTTTCTTTCTTCACAGCTGTCAATCAAAGTAGATAATGAGGTCACAGGGTTAAACCCCTCCCATTTAAGAGAGCCTCTACAAGTGTGTTGAAACGAGTGCCTGAAATGAGTTCAGTATCAGGTAACACACAGCAGCGACAGTTCATACCTAAACCTCCTTGGGTGACTTGGAACAGATGCAACAGTAGAGCGAAGCAGCTCGAGGCTATGCTCGTGTGAGCTGAGGACTCGCTTGTCAAACAGTAGCTGTTGCATTTGAACAAATATCTGGAAGAAAGTAATTTTCTTCCAAGGGACAACCTTTTACAATTTAATAAAAGGTTGTCCTCAAAGTGAACTCCCAGTGAGGAGACTTTGTTGACACGAAAGTGAATGAAAATAACTTCAAAGAGCAGCAACGAAGTGCTGCACAGTATTAGGATATTAATAGAGTGAATAAGAAAGATCTAGTTTTTTGGACTTGGACAAGAGCCACACTTGTTAAAAATAACAGTAATAGTATATGAACAGGAAACAAGTTCCATCTGAATTTTGTAAGACTGAGTTGGCCAAAATAATCACCAACCGAGAGAACAAAAAAAAAAGGCTGAAAAGTCTCGATATCTTATAGTAAAGTTGAATTTAATTACTGCCTGGTTGCCTGTCGGATCCAACTGTTAAGCGGCTCAAACACAATATAGAACTATAGCATCACTATTTATATTCTAGTCAAAGTCAGTACATGTGTGAACATTTATCTAGAACAAACTAATAGTTATGACAGCTGAACAGCCAAATCCTACACATAGTCAGCAGGTGTTCTTTGGAATGTAGATAACACAGCTTGTAACGCTCAGTGCAGTGGCATATTCAACATTATGCACTCCATACTGTATATAAATGCCACTTGTTTTGCACAATATTCAACTACGAACCTCTGTATATTTTATATATTTATTTTATTTTTACTCTATTTAATTTGTAAAATATGTATACACACACACACACATATATATACACACATGTAGACATACATATTTAGTATACACATTCAGTAATATGCATACACTCTTATATTGTACCTATATTTATTCATATAATTCTCAGATTTAGCCATTCTTATTATTGCTTGTTCTTATGTTATTGTACTTTGCACACCTCTGTTGCTTGTGAAGCTCACACACAAGAATTTCACTCACATGTACTGTACCAGTGTACCTGCACATGTGATGTGACAATAAAAGTGATTTGATTTTGATATAAACTTCATAACAAGCAGGCGAGACACAGTGAAAGATTCTGATTTAGTTATTTATTTATTTATTTGTTTGTTTATTTGTCTTTGTTATCTACAACCTCCACTGGACTGAACTTAGTAAGAGTTTCTATAATATTTAATTTCTATATAATAGTTTCTTGTCATTTGTCATGAATAGAACTGAGTAGACGTGTGTGAAAGGCTTCTTGGAAAGACTGAAAACCTGGGTGTAAAAATGCGTACAGCACAGAACTGTTGTGTTTAACAGATTTGATAGTTGTGTGACTAATTTGTGCCTTACTGTATTAACTTATTGTTTTATCAGTGAGGTGTTTTATGTACTTGTGTTTTATTGTATTTTATATTTGTATTTTATTGTACAGCACTTTGGTCAGCCTTGGTTGTTTTTAAATGTGCTTTATAAATAAACTTGACTTGACTTGACTTGACTTCCTGGAATAGGCACTTTGTCACACAGAAGAAGTTTTTAAGAACATAACTGGACCTTAGCCCGTCTCTAGTTCCTGCCTCTCTGTGTGAGTCTGCATCAGCCAGGGGAACAAATTCAAATTCCTTCAAACCAGCTTGTTTACATATTTCACTCAAGATGTCCTTTTCAGTTTCATACGTATTTGTGATGACTGGAACCGAAGCCTCCAGCCCCCCGTGGCCCTGTGAATTGGCTAAACAGAAGAAAATGGATCGTTGCACGCATCGATCTTCCAAACAAAATAACTAGTTTGTTAATGAAATTGATAAGTTACACACTGTTCCTAAGATGTTCTTTGATGCTTTTAAAGGTTTGACTTCTTTATGTCAGCAGTTCCTTTATGTGCTGTTTTCTCTTTTGTTTTCCAGAGACCTGAATGGAAACAACCTGACAGTCATCACCAAGACAGACTTCTCGGGTCTCAAACACCTCCGAGTCCTGTGAGTTATATCTGCCTTTACTCTTATGGATATATTTTATGGGTTAAAATTAAAGCACTCATCCCATCCAGAGTGGCTTTCACACCATTTCCTTCTCTACTTTCATTGCCTTCAGGCTCATTGTTGACAGGGCAACAGCTTGTATTTGTTACGAGATTCTTTCCCACATTTCTGTCCTTGTTTGAGGTCTGATAGGAATGTGGGAAGCATAGCTGTGGTGCCACGTAAAGCTGACATAAGGTGCTTGTCTGGTGTCAGTTTTACTACAAGGAGGGTTTATCTATGACCTTTTGACGTGGAAGCACTGTGCCCTTGGGGAGAAACTGCATGAGCAGTAATTTCCTGTGTTAACTTGAGGACTAGAACTGCAATGAGTGTCAGTGATGGACATGATGACATGTCCCGGACTGATTATATCTCTGGAGACCTGATCAGAACAGATTAGCAGCCCACTGGGAGCCCTGGGCGTACTGCTGTCAGGAGGGTAAAGTGTTACAGCAGTAGGG